GAGGTTTGAGACAGTTTCACATGTTGAAATCTGTCCCAAAAGATTCTAACAAAATGTGGAGACGAGCAGCCGTTCCACATCCCTCTCTGTGAGCTCTTCGTCAGCATCTGGCAAAGTGTCATCTTCGTCGACATGCTCAGGGACAGGATCTTTCGAACCTGCAGATCCCGAGCGCCAGCAGAGAGCACCTGGCCTACAGCTGTCTTTTTCTAGCCGGCCTTTCTTAGGCCAATACAGCTCCAAGCGGTTCTTGCTTGATCCAGGGATCTCAGATCCTGTGTGCCAAGCCGGATCTTGATGGATAAAGATGCACTTCCAACAAGGTTCCGGCCTAAAGCCCAACGCGAGAACTCTGAGTAGTCCACTACCTAAGCCATATTTAACCATCCTACCTGCCTGGCAACCAGCTGTGCATATCTGAGCAAATGCCACTGCTTGCAAGCTAGTATGTTGCACAAAAAGCTTGCGGCAAAGGAGCAAAATCTCCATCTTTGTCCATTGCTAGCTGAAATGCAATGACGTATTCCTTGCCCCTTAGTTTGAGCAGGCTGGGCACTTCTGCTGTGATGTCCATCACTGGCTACCACCCACCTTCACACAAGTGGGGTCTGGGGAAGGGGGCGGGCAGTGATCAGGACTGTGCAGGCCTGTGCCAAAAATTCACGAGTCTTGCGCACCAGGCCACATTCAGAGCTGTCCCGATTGTCTTAAGCTATTGCTAAGAAGGCCGAGCTCACCCCAGATAGCTCACACGGACCCAGCTCCATCTTGCATTTGTCTTCGCTTGAGCCATGTTTCAAGCCGATGCCAGCCAAACATCGCTCAAACTCCTCGAGCTCTAAGACCCCGTTGCCGTTGCCTCAGGAAAATGGAACAGAATAGAATGTCAATAGTGACAAGCCGAAGTCCTACTTCCAGAGGACGTCTTCACAACCCACAGGCCAGCGCGCTAAAAAGCAAGACTTGCACACTCAGATCCAAGACGCAGCCTTGCTAGAAAAGGGTCTCAGCAGGTTGACATAGCCCAAGAATCCCCACGACCGTTGCCTAGAATCTCAAATGCATCCAGGGAGCTATCATAACCTTACTTGCCGCGATGTTATTTTGATGAACGGCATCTGAGACTTCAATAGGAATTCGTGCTAATCACGCCGTGTCACTCTGAAAAACTTCGAGGACCCGGTCCAGCATCTCATTTTGGTCCCGTGGTGGCTGTACGACTTTGAGATTTGCTGGTCTCAAAGCTTTGACTGAGCCCTCAAGCTGTACATGCACACGTCCTTTCCTTAGGTGAAAGCACAAATCAGCCCTGGGTCCTGCGCCCCCCAGTGAGATCCACCGTGCGACAGCCAAACAGAGCCCAGGCACTCAGGAAACCAAGCCAAGCAAGTACCTTCCTGACCATTCAGCTCGCGGACGGACTCGGCAGTCAGCGCACAAACTAACAATAGCACAAAATGCACTTCTCACACTCGAACTTGAATAGGATTGTGCTGTGCAGATTTACCAAGCTGACGTGTCAAGTCATTCAGCAGGCCATGGGAATTATCATCCAGAAGTTAGTTTGGATCGCAAAAAAGAAACCTCCTGACAAGTCGCTCTGATGCCATGGATGATGACATGGACTCCTGGACGAAGGACCTCATTTGAAACTATATCCCAGCATGCGTAAATTACGCAGCCTGAGCGCTTTCTGCGTAACTTGGGCGCTCACACCTCCTGATGAACCGCGCGGGTAGTTGTGCCGTCTTTGCGACATCTACGGGATAATCGGACAATCAATGCAGGCAAATATTATTGTAGCAGGGTTTCTGGGCAATGAGAGACCTTTGTTTCTAAAGATGCTGCTTGCTGGCCTAAACCAAGCGTACGATGTGTCAACATTGTGTCAAGTGGCCTGTCAGTAATGCTGGTGGGTCTATCCATTCACTGACACTTTGGCGCCACTTCACTAGGGGCGATTTTCCATGTCTGCTTCCCTGAGCAAATGCTTGTGGGAATCGCTCTTGCCACACCTGCTCAGCAAATTGATGATTGCAACGGCTGTGCTCTGCTTGATTGAGCTGTCTCAACCCCAAACGAGGGACCATGCACAGTTGCAGCAGTGCACCGCTCTGTTTGAACCTTGCAAGCTGGGTCGCATGGCCGGGCCTTTTCGCCCACGAAGTAAAGCTGCAGCGCATATCACGTATTGGCACCAGACGACTGGCGAAGGGACAACATGCACTGCTGTGACCGTCTTGCATGATGAACACGATGTCACAACAAGCCCATTTGGTTTAGCGAGTGGTATGTGGTAGCTTGCAAGTGCCCATGGATCCAGAGATTCTCCTACGTTGCAAGCAGGCATTGGCCTCTACCACTTCAGGAAGCACGTGCCATGGCTCCACACGTCAGCACATGTGTGGCATGCACGCAGGGATGGAGATTCGCTGAGCGTGGTTGATACAGCTCAGGCAAGAGCCCTGTCTCCACACCATCAGGAAAACTTGATATCAGTGCGCACATGGTTGCTGACGCGGGCGTGGGCCACTCCAGCGCCATCTGAGCAAAGGCGAAGCACCTCGCGCGTCCATAATCGGCCTCCAAATCTGCTCTTTCTTTCCCACCCTTCAATTGTTGCTCTTTGCCCGATTGCTTCCCTTTTCATTGGTGTGTGTTCTTGCCGGCTTCTTCATGCTCATGCTGGGAAGGTTGCCATATGGAAGCCAAGCCCCCTGTCCCAGGCTCTTGACTTCATGAGACGGAAGGACGTTTAACTTCTAGGAGTTTGTGCCCCGACTTGAATTTTGAACCCATGCTTTTTGACTGTCTAGTTGGCAACCACACGTAATGGCAGAGTGGAGGCTTTGAAGCAATGCCATGAAGTTGCTAGCAGAGGAATGTCGAAGATGTCTCCGCATGAAACAAACTCGAGCTTTTTCTCGAGTCCCAAATCGCAGATTGAGCCCATGGCATTTGCATCTGCATCCCCACATGCTAGCCTTGGTCGGTGTCATCACCTGCCAGAGTAGACTTCGAGAGGCCGGGTATGATGTGGCTGAGAAGACAACAAGCACCGACCCGAGAGCCATGCCGACACGACACGGAATCTTCGACGCACCGGCTTCGCAACAACACGCATACACACCCAGATACCTTATCTACACCTTCTTTGTTTGGAGTAGGCAATTGAAGAAAACGATCCTCAAAGACAGCGGCGCTCAAAGCCTCTGACATGTGGAGCGAAGGTCAGGACAAAATTTCATTCAGTTCATTCCATTCTGATATCCCAAGCCAGCGCATTGCACCTCATGCCCACAGCCACCCCTTCAGTCAGAGTTGTGTGATGCTACAAAGTCACCACGGCCCTGCACTTGCATGGCTTAGGGCTCTGAAGCACCGGCTTAACATAAATATCCTTTCAATTTGGCCAAGGACTATCGCCAACTTTCGAACGTGCTGGATGGCAAGTCGCTCAAGTTTTTAAGCAGTTGCATGAAGAGGCCTGCAGCGTATCATTCTTAAATTGAAAATGCAATCAATTCCCGCTTAGAACGACCCTCGTCCTCCCCCTTCCTCATGACAAATCCCCCTTGCAGGTTGTAATGCTACGGGATTCATTTTTTTTTTTGGGGGGGGGGTGAATTTGGTTTCCATTGTGATTTCTGTTCCCCTATGGCCCCCTGGCAGCCTGAGAAACACCCAATCAAAAGCTCTTTAAGAGTAATACCAATACAGGTCATGAAGGACATATCTAATTTTGATTAGTTTTCGAAGAGATTCCGTACAGGAGACTCCAAATTCTAGTTGCATTTTCGATAAAATCTGGTTGCAAGCTACGTATAAAGCCCTGACAAACCGTTCAAGGAAAGGAAGAAGATCATCGTTGATGTTTCATTGTCACTGGCTCCATCGAATTACTTCAGAAACAACAAATCCATCAGTCAGAGCGTCCTAATTGGTCTTTGCTCTTTGAAGAACACTCTTTCAGGGGATTTGGGATCCCCCCATTTCACAGTCTAAAAAGTTGAGCCCCAGATTAGGTGCCGTGTGAAATGAGTGCCCTGGGGTTTGGCAGCCACAAAATGAGGGGCCCAGGTCATTTTTGTGTCAGGAGGCTATGCCATGCGCAGGTCTTTGTTTCGCAGCGGGGCTTCGAATTCTTAAGATAAAGGATCACAAAGCTCAGCATACTTGACCATTGAAACGACAGCATGTGCAGATAACTCATGAATGGTGCTCCGGTTTCACCTGTGACGTGACTTCTGCCGACCCCCTTTTCTTTCAAAATGAAATGCTCTGAGTGGTACCTGCGTTACTGTACCCCATACAGAGAAATTCGGGGGGGATCCAGGATTAGGGTTCTCGTGGCTGGGGGCGTTCTTACAAGCAGTTTTGCCATTTCATATGTGCAAGCAAGAAGGCTCAAAACAACACATTATGTAGCATACAGGCAACTAGTCTGGTGGCCTGCTCAAGGGACTGAAGCTGCTTCATTCTGTCCACCATCGCCTTCGACTCTGCTCTGTTATGCAACTATGTAAAAAATCAGGAATGTTCAAGAAGCCAGAAAGAAGCTTTTGTGAGCCTTGACTTCCGCATCTTGATTGACCTCCGCTGGCTTTCGGACGTCAACACGTAACAGCTGAAGAGCAAATCAGCTTGACGCCTCTTTTGGCCCCTTGCCAGCGTCTGCAAGCAATTTCCTTGCATGATGCTGCATAGTCTCACGCAACATGCTATGACACTGACATGATGGCTGCTTCTTGTGCCAGACAAATATGCTTGCCTACCATGAAGTTTTTAGAGCTCGAACAAGATTGCTCATGTGCAAAACTGCTGCGACACGTTGATGAAACTAACCGTGCATATGTCCTCATGATTACTGCCACCGCAGAAAGAGTTGACTAGTTGAACGTGCACGAGTCCCGACAACCAGGCTGAACAAGATCCAATGCCCAAAGACTAGACAGGAAGTGAGCGAATTGGCATCGGCAGCACAATTCAAGAAGCGCAATCTAGGAGGAGCTTTTTTGCAAGCCTGTGCAGCGGGACCGTTTAGCAGTCCAACTATGAGGCTGCGGCTTTTTTTGAGGAATGTCGCGAGTGCGAAGCCTGAAGAGCTCATCTGCTTCGGCTTTGTTGAGGCTGCCGACCTTTGGTGACTTTCGTATTTCATGAACCGCCACCGACTGTGCCGACATTGATGCATCGTGCGCATGCTGAGTTTGTGACATGCTCCTCAACTCTTTCTAAATATCCCTGCGCATCAAGCTGGCGGTGCAAAGGCCAAATTAGGCTCGAGGTGCAGCCACACATGCGTGCCTGAAGCAGCCCCCACGTCATGAAATGCCTCAACGAGATTTGTAGTTCCTTGATGTCCTGCAGTGTCCATCCATGACTGCCACATGTCTGTCAGATTGCATTGGGGCAAGCGGAAGCTCCTTTTCGAAAACCTGACAATTGAAGGCGAGACCAGCTTCAGCCATTGGCACTTTGCTGCCTGCCTGTTGGAAGTGACCGAGGTCTTGCCCTTCACAGGCCAACAAGGCCTTGTCATGGCCAAGGAAAATACGGCAAGTCTTAACCACCTCTCCGTCACGTTCAAACAAGCCGACCCCACGTAGAGTGCCATCACCTTTTGAATCTCCTGTGCTTGGCAGGCAGGCTGATCCAGCTTGACTTTTGCGACAATAAAGGTGCCCATGACCTAATGATACATCTAGGCCTAACCAATGAGCCTGGCACAAAAGGAATATGACAAATGGAAGTTATGCTTGGCACATGCCTTTCCCAGACTTAGAGTTTGAAACACGTGGATATCACACTGACGCCAAGTCTCCGCGTCTTGCTCCTCATCGGGCAGGTTGTCAACCCTGCGTTTGCCGCCGGTAACATAATGCACTGCTTGCTGCCTGTAGCGTGGAGCTGCTCTAGCCAAGGCCCGAAGACTCAGAGAACACTTGCCACAAAAATGTCTCAGAGTTGAGCCCCAATGCTGCATCTTCAAGCACCGTGTGGTATGCAGGCGTAAGCCTGGCTCGGCTGGCAAGCTGTGTGCACTCGCAAGACAAAGCCCCAAAGTGCAGCTGCAAGCTTGCCAGCATGGCCGATACTTACACTCCATTCGGATATCGGGGATCAAACGTATCAGGTTGAAATGGAGCAAATGTCGTAGGATCATCACAACCTGCGACTCTGCCATCGTGCAAGAACACCAAGAGCTGAGGCATGGCATCCACCATGCCATGCCATGCCAAGTGTGAAGCAAGAAAGGTATAAGACTCCGACGTAGTCGCTTCTGAGCGCACAGTTGCGAGCTATGCATTGGACACTGCTTACCTTGCTCTGAACTTTTCGTCGCAGCACTCAGAGAGAAACTGTCCGTGCCTGAGGCAGGCTAAGGTCCATACACCGTTAATGAGCGGCAGCACTTCTGCCACAGCTGGGTCCTCAAGAGATTGTCAGTCTGGAGAGTTGGTTAGGTTGACAGCAACCAGAAAACGCATGCGACCGGCTTAGGCTCGCAGCTAAGCTGAAGGGCAGGGCCTCCCAGCTGTGCAAGCTGTGCACCGAGGTGCGACGACTGCGACCAAATGCGAGACCATCTGACCATCCCAAGTTCAGAGCCGGTAGTTTGGCGGCAGACCTGCGCTCTGTCAAACGTGTCTGGTGCCGTGCTTAATGAATTCAGGTTTAGACGCGGATATTCCTGCGTGCACCATGATGATCATGATGGGCTTGCCACTTTACTCGTTCGTCTGGCACGTTGCCTCTTCGATGTGTTGTCATATAGCTGATGCAAGTCGATCATCGGTACGGGGACCAAGGTGTCATCCTCGATCTTCGTGAGAGCCTTGGTGTTGTCTGTTGTGCACATGTGTTGTTGGCACTATCCTTTGGCCGCGCACGGGAACCCATCGGCGGACCTGATAGGCTGCTGCAGAACCGACGTAGACAACGTTTCATCCTGAACCCACCTTGAAGGATATGGCGTGAGACATGTCTATTCGCACAAAGCACTCCTGCAAACGATGAAGGAACACGCAATGATGTTTTCAGACACTAGACACCACACTTGCCGGTAAAGCAAATTATCGTCTTGAACAAGTCCTCCGCATCGTTAATCTGTAGACGCAACCTGGCTAAGATGTCCTGCAACCAACTTGCTGGCAAATTGCTGCGGGTTGCTGTCCTGAAGCCTGCATGCATGAGGAAGTGCCTGGATGGAGATCTTGTCTCCTGGGCTAAGCCATGTGCTTATCGTAATTCACGTTGTGCCGGTCAAGGAAGATTATGAAACCGCAGCCAGGGTTCTCGGGTTTGAGAGTAACCTGGTGTCAACCTGCAAGTGGCAAATGAAATGTGGAATGGCTGAGTCCACCTAAGGAGTTAATCGCTGCACTGCTGCACCTCCAGGGAGTGGAAAGACATGGCCTTAACTGGCTGCACTGCAATTCTCAGCAATTCCGCGGTCTCTGAATCCTAAGCTCAGAACCAGAAGCTGTGCTACGTCCCGGTATGGCTCATGGTGTTGGCTGCTGTCTATCACCTCAAAAACAAGCATGGCGAACAATGCCAACTTGCCCGATTTACATTTTTGCTGATTACGGGTAGCAGGCCATACAAACGTTGAATTGAAAGCTGTTGCGATGGTAGAACGCGTCCTATCAAAGAAGGTGCCACAGCTGACAGGCTTGATGCTCTCAGCGAATGGTGCACCTCGATGTACACGGGGGTGCCCATCATGACCTTTTGTGCAACCAACTCTGGATTTGGTGCTTTGATTATGCCAAAAAAACAATGCATCAGGCGCCGCGCTTTGATGGGCAATCCCTTTTCTATCCTTTTATCAATGTTCCTGTGGAGACGTCATGCGATCCTACATCTTAACCAAGCCCTGGCCCCGCAATGCTGTCAAAGCGGCTCGATCGCCACACACGATGGAGACCACTCGACCCTGCACAGAGCACGCCATGCCTACAAAAAAGGCAAATGAAGACAGGACTTCTCCAGTCCTTGATCGTTGAATCTGGAAGCAGGTAATGACCTGAGCGCTCAGCCAAAGGACCATTCGTAAAACTCTAGGACCGTCAGCGGGTCGCTGAGAGGCCGTCCCACTTGCTGAAATGCGATGCCTGCCCCTGGCGGGTCCGCGCACTGGACGATCGGCCCTGCATCCTGTCATTCTTGCAAGGCCGCGCAAAATTGAAACAAGTTCCTAGCGTCCTTATCAAAGACGCAGAAGAGCAGCGCGTCCAGGTGGCACTTGGCATCAGCTTTTGCCGCGTTGCTGTCGAACATGCTTCGGATGCTGAGCAGTGTACAAATGTGTAAAGCTGAAAGTCTTTGCTATGTCTGGTCGTTATTGTGACCACCATCGGAATACATGGCATTTGCCTTCACAAGCAACAGTGTCATCAGCAGCGCCATGCTTTCGGATGCTGCGCAGAAGCTTACTGAATAGCAGAGCTTCAGGGTAAGTACTTCCGATCACAATGTATGCTATTTCAGCATGTTGTCTTGATATGCCGCATACCTTTCCGTAGGTGCAGCTGGGAGGGCATGAGGTATGCAGTATGGTATTTGAGTCATTCAGCCTCAAGCCAAAGATGTTCAAGATTGCTGTGTGACCGCGGGCACACCTTGTTGAAACATCGCTTCTGGTTCGTAGGACTATCTGAAGCGGGCTGATGCTCAGTCTGCACTAGATACCCTTCAACTCGGCGCACGCGATGAAAATCAGTTGTGCAAATTGCTTCTCATCCTGAGTGGTAGGCACATCCAACTGTGTCAGCAACTGCTGCAATTCAGGATGCTTCCCGAACAGCCTGTACATGAACAGCCCGCTTTCAATCGGGACTTCCCGAGAACCGCGGCGTGCATGGACCACTAGCGCCTGCTGCATCTTGCTTGGCGTCTGGACCATGCCGAAGCTTCATTCAAAGTGAGGATTTGCGAGCTGGTTTGTGTCCTCTATTTCTGTTTCGCTGTGTCAGACTGCCTCCAAGAACAATCTGCAAAGTGCCCGCGGCAGGTGTTTTGCAGCCAAGTGTTCTGGACTTGAGAATTGTGCTCTTTGAAGGAGTTGCGCTCAAGCTGCGCCGGCACCACCCTTTGTCAAGATCTGTTCCTTGGAATTCAATTTCCTTCCCCTGCTAGGTTTGCCCACGGCTTATGCTTAGTCTTGCGCCAGCTCTCTGGATGCAGAATGGAAACTAACTTCGCGACCAATTTTGACACCCTCGGGTTCTGCTTGTGCAGCTCCAGGTTGGAAGGATCCATGATAACCTTGCGCGGTTCTGCTGCTGACTTTTTCTGTTTTACTATGGAACTTTGCTGACTTCAGGTTGGGAGCATCCTGTATCACAGCCATACCCTCGGGATCTGTGGCAGCATCTGCAATTTCCTGGTCATTGAGCAGCTGGAGTGTGAGCTGTGGGTCCTGGGATCAAAGATGGATGAGCGAGCCAATACGTCCAGTCAGCTTGCACGTTGAACTCAAACCAGCCAGAGTACCATAGTCGGGACACCAGCCTCCTCTTCCAGCTGTGTCTGAGTGCTTGGGGTTTGTGGCTCTGGATCCGGAGCAAGATTTGCCTTACTGTAATATGTCTGTCAAGTCACAAGTGATTAGCATTGCAGCTTCGACACAGGATCAAAGGCCAGTGGTTCTGCCGGGACCTCTGACATCCTCTGGTCAACAAATTCCTCGGCAGAGTACGAAAGCATACAGGCACCTTGAAGTCTGTAGGCTCTGAACTGTGGAAACTAACGTCACGAATTGTCCGCAGTAATGTTGACCTAACATTAAGGACTACCCCCCACATTGATAAAATCCTGCCGCTGGACCACAATTACAACCCCCACGTTTATAAAATCCCGACAAAACATGATTTTTCAACGGTAAATGTTCAAAGCTGCTTACTATAAACCGTTGTGTTAAGAAGATGGGAAGCCGTTAAGTTTTAGATCATTGAATTTAAAGTTTGCTTACCGCTGGAACTGATGTTGTCATGGTGCACCTAGAAAATTCCTTCTCCATGGCAGCAAAGACCAGATTACTTGAGTGCTCCTCCCCCTCCGCCGCCTCCTACGACGCATAGTAACAGTAAAAAAACGACCGGAGAACCCCACATGTGTAGTTTAACCTAAATTATGTGAAATGATATCAGGATTTAGTCGCCCGCCGAAAAAAGAAGACGTGTTCGAAGAGAAGGTGCGCAGACGAAACGATCGTTCCGAACGATGCGAGGAGCTGGCGACGTGAACGCGAAGGACAACCACGACACATGCTTTTAAATTGATGACCTTAAGATCAAAGTCCGACTTCGGACATGATTTCGTGCCCTGGCAACATATACATATATATATGTGTATGTATACATGTAGGTGTATATGTTTATATACATAAGACTGAATCTCCGACAGCATGCCAAGCTCGTACCCTGCACCAGAGTTTTTTCGTGTCACAGTAGGCGCAAATGCCGGGAAACCGCCGTTCGACCAGGTAAGTCTGACTTTGTACTCCTTACCGTGTCGTTTCCGCACTGCTAAATTATCCTTCTTGTTCGGGAACCACTTCGTGGTCTCGATGAATGGGATTTCAATCAAGCCCATTGCAGGTCCACAGGCTAGCAATTACACAAAAAGACTGGCATCCACTCGAGCAAGCAGATCAAGCAAAACAACAAACTGTTAATTGCAAATGCACATCCAAGCAAGCACAGCGAAGGACCGTCTCGAGAGCAGGAGTCTGAATCTGCACGCCTTGCGGGTGTCAGCGCGCGTCTTATGAGCACAGAGCANNGCAGCTTTTTTTTCCTTCCGAGAACGGACAGGCGGACCCAAGCCGGCCAGCACTCGGCGGGACCGGGACAAGCTCCCGATCACTAGTCTGCATCGCCAGAAAAGCACCCCAGATAAGCCCCCATGACATGTGCTGCCAATCTGCGCAGCTCCCCATCCCGGGTCGCATGTCGCCAAATGAATGGCCGTCAGGACTCTTCGCAGAGAAAGCATTCCAGAGGTCGCGCTTGCAGTGGACGAAAAAGAATGACAGAATGATGACCGACAACACGCAATGACACTCCCACGGTCTGAGCAATTTCCGACATCGAAATAGCCCCCCTCTTCTGGACCACAGCCACCCCTAAAGCACGAGCCTCCAGTAGAGCGCGCAAAGGCCAGGAAGACACATGCGGGTGATGAGGAATGCCGACCGTCTTGAATGTCAACAGCGGATTAATCTCAGCTGGAGCTCCGACCTTCAAAAGTTCCGACGCCCCGTTCTCGTGCCCGCTGTAGCAGCCCTTGATCAACCGCAACTGACTATTCTCTTCTCAAGGCCGAGCACATGAAAAGCCTTGCCTTTCAGTGTCAGAGTCCGCAGGACATCCAAGTATTCATTCATAGGGCCGAATGCAAAATCAAAAGCCTCTGTCGATTCTCGTCCCTCCATCCACAACACGGTGTGCAAATCGCGGCGTCTGCTTGGCCCTCTGGCGGCACGCAAAAACGCCAACTCCACGTACTCGCGAAGAGTCCATTGTTCGAGAACATCTGGCAGTTAGCCCCTTCCACGCCGGGACGCTGAACACAAATGGAGCAGTCGTCTGACTCGAAGATGTCCTTCACCCTCTCCAAGTCGTCGCTCAGAGCCGCCCAAGCCACCGCAACACTGCGACCTCGATCGTCTGCTCCAAACGACCAAAAGTCGGAAAAAGAAAAGCAATCCCCGCCCTCAACCCAGCCGCACACATTCCAGTGCTGAATCGCAAATACTTTCGGAACTGACGAACAAGAAAAAGGCCGCTTCTCGGACCCTCCCTTTCCCCCGACCACGAGCGTGACCGATACGCCACAGAAGCCCTCAGCATGGAAAGCAAGTCCGAGACGTGTCCGCTCCTTGATCCAGCCCAGCTCGCACGCAAACTTTGCAAAGACTTCCCGCTGCGCGCAGAAAGAGTTGATGATCTCGCGACCGCGAGCCCAGCTGGCTGATACGTCTCCTGTCAATCCTACGGGGCACGTGCACGTGCATGTCCAACTCAACCCCCGCGCAGAAGGCACTCGGCCGCCAAAGGTGTCAGCAGTCGCAAGATTTCCGCACTGGCATTCGAAGCACGAGTCCACTCCAAGGCGATCCAATCCGGATGACTCGCTGTACCACGACTGAGATCGCGCCATGATGCAGCCAGAAAGTCAAGCACGTCTCACGCTTCGCAAAAGCAGCGTGAAGAAACAGGTAGTGATCTCGCTCGCCCTCACCCATACAAACAATCACACTCCGAAGCACCTCATCGGCAACATGCGCATAGCAGTCGACAATTGTAGCATGACAAAGAACACCATGAGGACGCTAGAGCCCAGTACCCGCTCTCAGCGATCCAAGAACGATCCTGCAGGAGTTGCCGTTGCTTGTGAAGAACATAAATGATTCAAGTCTGAAGCGCGCCCCTTTTTCACTATTCCGATGATAAGCGCCGGAGAAAGTCACCCTCCAAGAGCCCACCCATACACTCACCTATCATTGGGAAGAAACCATATGCGAAATGTACACGTGATCATGTACATATACATATACATCAGCTGCAACTGATGTCGACTTCGCGCTCACGCAATGTGCTCATGGTTTCGTCGCGGAGTGTCGTTTTGAGGGTCTGTCATTCTTTTACACATGTCTTCTTTTATCGGCTATGTATGTATGTATGTCTGTATGTATGTATGTATGTATATATGTATATATGTATATATGTATATATGTATGCCAGTTTTCCCAGACCTCATTGTACATTTTTCTCAGAAAGCGTACAATGAGGTCTACGAAAACCAAGCTTTTCCGAGCATGCTCCGCACGGGAGCGCGATTTTTTGATGAAGAAACGACGAAATTTTGAGGATGCTCCGCACGGGAGCGCGATTTCCTTCAAACTTTTCAGGATGCTCCGCACGGGGGCGCGATTTCCTTCAAAATTTTCAGGGTGCTCCCCACGGAGGCGCGATTTTCTTCAAAATTTTGAGGATGCTCCGCACGGGAGCGCGATTTCCTTCGAAATTTTCAGGATGCTCCGCACGGGAGCGCGATTTTCTTCTAAATTTTCAGGACGCTCCGCACGGGAGCGCGATTTTCTTCAAAACAAGACGACCTTGAGCGGAGCATTTTGGTATAGAATTGGTATAGGATCCATCCCGTAAACGATCAAATTTCGAACGACGATGCCGACGAATCCTATACCGGAAAGCTCCGCCAATACCTCCCTCTTAAGCCACGAAAGCCACCTCGAACGGCGTTCGTTTGGTATAGGATTGGTATAGAAACCCTCGATATCATCGTTCATAAATGATCAAAATTTTCCGAATGCTCCGCACGGGAGCAATTTTGATCGATTGTGATGAAGATACATCGACGAAATTTCGGGGATGTCTCGAGCGGCAGCGCGAGTTTTGAAGATACGAAGATGATCAAAACGTCGACGATGCCGACGAATCCTATACCAATCCTATACCGGAAAGCTCCGCCAAATACCTCCCTCTTAAGCTGGTATAGGATTGGTATAGAAACC